ACGTGGGTGCATGACGATCAACGCATTTAAATGCACTCAAAGACAGAATTAGACCCAAAAAAAATGGACAGAAAAAAAATCATGAAAAATCGCATGCAAAAATCCTAGGGCCAAAATTACTCCAAAAGGTGGAGATGTATAACAAATATATAAGAAAAAAAAACAGCACAAAACTAAACGCCCTTTTGGGTTGGAAGAAATACCGTGCATGCACTTTTCAGTTCATCCATGGGTATACACATCGTTTATTGCGAAAGCCACGTGCATGCTTTATTTTATATATCATACTTAATATTGTAGATATTTAATTATTAAGTTCACACAAATATAAACTTGTAAATTTCTATTTTTTTTCGACCGACCTGCTGCGTAATTATTTTCTGGTTTGATGAGTAGCAGTCTTGTGACAGCGTCCTGTATCCGTCATGTGACCGCCGTTGCGTGTAGAGTTACAATCTGTGGGTGAGGGTGGGGCTTGAATTATATAACCTAGAACCAAGACAGTTGTATATGATCTTCTTACTTATTACTTACATATTCATAATCGTTTACCGATTATTGAAAGATTTAAAATTATTCTGAAGAAATGAAATTGATTATAAATAACAAGAAAAATAAAATGCAAACATGAAATCATGATACAGAAATGAACCACATTCAAAAGACAATAAATAATCTAAAATATGGCAAGAATAACAATGTAGAAAACACCACAACACTAGACACCCATATCTACTGACGCAAATAACATAAAAAAGTCAATTCACATATTAAATATATTCCAAGCCTTGAAAAAATAAATGAATAACAATTTCGAGCTGTGTATAGAATTTAGCCAGAAAACCAGTGTTATTGTTTTTCATTATTTTTAATTGATTGTGTAGACTAGCAAAAACTGTAATGTATCCCGTCCTTGATTTATATAAAGGGATATGATATTATAAAATGCTGTACATCTTCCACTTTTAGTTTATGTAGTACTACACGAATCAAATATACTTTCTTTTTCTGTTTTTTTTTTTAGTATTTTTGATTATTCAGTCGAAATTTACTAAGAAGAATATTTTTGTTATTTAGTGTTTTTAGTTTAGTTGATTTCGGTTGATATATACTACTGGGATTCTATTACACTGTACCATTTAGTTGTTTGTTTCATTTTTCTGCTTCATTTACCATCTTATTTGATGGATTTATAATACGATTGTAGGGTTTGGCCATCTGTTTTTTTTTGTTTTTTTGTTTATATATATATATATATATATATATATTGGGAATCTACCCACTGTGGTTCTCCATAAATACCCATAATAATAGAATTCTCCGAGTATGAACCGCAAGGAACTTAATAGATTGACATCCTCCACAACTGATCTATATACATTTTCGTGTCCCCATATGTCACCCAAAAACGCAGGATTGACTTGACTATTTCACCACTAGCCCCCTCATCCCCCACTTTTTTTTATCAAATCACAAAATAGTTTATAGTCAACACTTTCCTTCAGAAGACAAAATTGCTAAATTTGTTTAATGAAAAAGTTACTAAAATGTTGTCTGTTATCT